ACAGGCTGGGAGTCAGAGGCCAGGCATGTTTTTCTTTGTGGAAATAAAAGTGAGTAATTGGTACATTTAGTGTAAAAATATCAGGTGCGGCTGCACAGAGTGAAAATCACAGGCTCCAAGGAGCCAGGAGGCCCACTGCCTGCCCTCACACCTTGATGAGGAAATGGGGGCCACAGAAGGAAGTGTAGCAGCACCTGCACCCATGGGGGCCACGCCGGGCAGCTTCCCAGGCCCCTGCCAGCTGAGCAGCCGCAGGAGCAGGTGGATGTGGATCCCAAGCCAGGACCGAGGAGTCCATCCCTGAGAGTGGAGGGAGTCAGGCAGGTGAAAGGAGCCACACATCTGGGTACAGCGGCTCATGGTTTCTCATCTGCCCAATGACAGAACTAGGTTCTGGAGCCAGCGTGGGTGAGCTAGGTTCCGGAGCAGAGCGTGGGTGAGCTAGGTTCTAAAGCCGGGTGTGGGTGAGCTAGGTTCTGGAGCCGGGTGTGGGTGAACTGGGTTCCCAAGCTGGCATGGGTGAGCAGGACAGCAGCGGGATCCTGGGAACAATCTTTTCCCGCCAGGCAGCCCAGAAATTCCATTTGCAGTCACTTTCACTTATGTTTTCCAGAAAACTGACCTGATGCCCTCAGGGGTTGGTTGGTCGAGCCTTTCCCTGTGCTGGCCTGGCAGAGCCGAGTGCTCCGAGGCTGCCCAACACTGTGCTCCAGAACACACAATCGGGTTCAGGAGACAAGCACGTCAGCCGACGGCCGTGACACAGGACGGATGAGAGGGACCCCAGCGTCCAGGCGTGGAGGCACTGGGGGCAGCCCAGCGTGCATAGACAGGGAAAGAGATTCAGAACCTGAGGGCTGCTCTCCTGCCCTCCTGTCCTGGACACTGGCCTGGGCCCCCCAGCTTCCCTTCACCCAGCTTCCATCCGGTAACACTGAGCCCCAGCACTTACGAAAAGGTCTCTCTGTGAAAGGTGGGATTCTCGAAGTTTCCACAGAGGAGACCCCATAGGAGCCGGGTCCGAAGGTTAAGAAAGACGCTAAGTATAGAGAGGGCCAGCGGGGTGGGGGTTCCGGGCTCACTTCACAGAGGGGATTGATTGGGGAGCTGCAATATTTTGGGAAGAGTCAGGTCAGGGGTTTATAAGGGATGAGAACGGGGTCTACACCAGCCCAGAGGACCCCTGGGGTCTCGCCCCAGTAGATGTCCAACTGGCAGAAAGCCCCTTCCTGCCTAGAGAGCACTGCCTCGAGGACCCTGGGGACCGCAGGGCCACGCTGCTCCCTCCCCAGCGTCAGCACCTCACTTCTCTCTCCGGCTGCCCTCCCACCTGGCTGCAAACTCCCCTCCAACCCAGCTCAGGCCTCCTCCCAACCTCACCCCCATGTAGGCCTTCTTTCTTCTCACTTCCTCCCCACTGTGACTTCCTTCTGCAGGGTTGATTGAGCTCCCTTTGCAGGCTGGGGGCAGGGGCGGGGGAGGGGCTGCAGGGAGGGCTGGTGGAGGAGGAGATGACACACTCCCTAGAGGGGAGTGGGGAGGGCACGGGGCAGGAAATGGGGTTGGGCGCCCCACGTGGGGTGCTCCAATAAGCTCTTTGTCTGGGATCCCCCACAGATCCACACAAACAGGCCGACCACCAGGGCTGGTCCCAGGCCACCCGAGGAGTGCAATGCAGAAATGGAGATCTGCCCGGGCAGCCGGGTGAGGGTGGGAAGGAGGGAGGGGTGCAAGAAGCTAGGGGAGCCTCCATCCTGGGCTTACCCCCCACCTCTGCCCCCCGCAGCTGGGAGCACATTTCCTCCCTCCTCCACTGTCCTCTGCAGGGTGTGACTCCTTGAGGGAGGGAGCTGAGGAGGTGGCATTCTTGCTTCCATGACCCACCCAAAGGAAGATTTCACAGCCTAGCAAGGGCTCGGAGGCAGACTCACCTGTCACACCGTCCAGGGATAGACTGACCACCGGCAGCCTTGGCTGGGCAGGGTGGGGGAGGGTTATGCTGAGAAGTGTCTTCCAGGCCCCCTGGGGGTGGGAAGAGGCTCGATATTCAAAGGATATGGAGCGAGAAAAACAGTTAAGCCATGATGGACTCAGGAAACCAGATAAAGAAGAACTGTCATTCTAGCCCATCCTTGGCCCAGCAGTGAATGGAAAGCAGCAGCTCTAACGTGGTGGGACGGTGGGAGGCAATGCCCTCATCCCCCAAAACCAGCTGCGCCACCTTCCCAGACCACTCCAGCCTCATTCCTCCATCCACCCCTCCCTGCACCCCATGAAGGCCACTGACTGGAGAGCAGAGCTGTCCAGAGAGCAGTCAGGTCGGGTGGGTGAGTGCCCTTACCCTCACTGAAGCTCTGCCCTGGACTCAGAGTGGGCTCTCCCTTGGAGCATGCCCCTCTTCTTCCTGACACTTCACATGTTTCCTTTCCTATTCAGTTCATGGTTTCCGCCCCCGCCCAAACGGAGCCACTGTTGCAGGAGCGGCCTCGGGAAACAGATCTCTTGGACCCTGAATATTGGAGGAAGGAGTTTATTTGGCCGGGAGCCAGGTGGCATATTTGCCTAATATCCAAGCCCCCCAACAAAGGAAGGTTCCTTCTTTATATAGGCTTATACTTTAGACGTCACACGTGGAAGAATCTTAGGTTTATAGCATAACATGAAAATGGTCTCTGTTTACAGTCTTAGGAATTACATATGAAAGGGGCTTCGGTTTACAGTCTTAGGAATGAAAAGGAGAAGTTTACAGTCTCAGGAATGAAAAGGGGAAGTTGATCTGAGATACCTGGGTCTCCCTCTTCACCACGAGATGTCTCCAAGGAAAGTCGGGGCAGCCTTCCTCATCCTTGGTTCCTGTGACTTGGTTTCCATGGGGCTTTCGAAGCTCAGGGACCCTAAGCCTCCATCAGATCTAATTACCCACCCTGTCTGAGCACATCTGTGTTGCCCCGTGCCCCTTGGCCCCCCCAAACCCTGCCCACACAGTTTCCGTCTTGGGTTAGCCCATAGGCTGGCCCATGTGGCCTACATGTTACCTTCACCCCACTGTGTCCCTACTGGTGGGGAGCTGTTCCGTCTGGGCCCTAGTGTGACACTTCACACATGAATATGTCCCGTGGGTGGCATCTGGGGCCTCCCCCTACAGTGAGGAGGGTGACGACTGCAGAGCTCACTGGGCCTCAGGGTACAGGCCTGGGTGTCACAGAACACGGAGACAGTGATCCGTAAAAGTGAGCTGCGATGCCTCTGCTAGGATGGAGGTGGGCAAGCTCCTCCCTGGAGGGCAGACGGTATGTGTTTTGGGCTTTGCTGGCCACATGGTCTCTGCTGTGACTACCCTGTACTCAGCTCTGCCATTGTGGCAGCAGAGCAGCCGTAGACCTTCTATAAGTGAATGAGTATGACTGTGTCCTAATGAAACTTTATTGACGAAAGCAGGTGGAGGGCCAGCCTAAGGGCAAAGGGCTGAAATCTGTAGGTCTCTGTTCTAGACCAGTGACTCTCTGAAGAGGAAATGGGGCGTGGGGAGTGGGGACAGTGTGTGGAGGAAGGGGTGGCACACAGGCATGTGGGAATGGCATGGACATGGAGAACACTGGAGGTGGGGAGGAGCTGGAGAAGCTGAACACTGACACTGGCCCCTGGGTGACACTAGGTCTCTCCACAGCCTCCTCTCTTAGCCTCTCCCTCCAGTTTCAAAATGACTACTCCTCTGAGGGGACTCAGGCTCCTCACCTGGTTCCCCAGTTCCCACCGGAAAGCCTGAGTGGGTGTTCCAGCCTCTGCCCCACCAGGAACCCCTGGAAGGCAGCACCCCCAGGCAGGGACCTTTCCCCCCTGCCCCTCCCTCCTCCAGTTCTGGGTCCTGGCCAAGAGACAACTTCTCAGCTCAAAGGGACCTGACCAGGAAGGTCCAGACCCCTCCACCCAGGAAGCCCCTGCAGGCTGGAGGGCGGCCCTCCCTCCTCCCTCGCCCTGTTAGTTTTTCTTTCTGATAGAAACAGCAGCAACTCACACACAGAGGAGCTGGGCAGGTGAGTGGCCCGAATGCTGGGCTGCAGAAAGCCGGGGCTACAGCCCAAGGCACCAGCTGGGCAGGGGGCTGCACAGCCTCAGGTGAGTTCCTGAAAGGCACCCTTTTTCCACTTGCAAATGGGGTGACAGGTCTGCTTCCCAGGCATAGCGGACAAAGTGTGGGGACTGCAGAGCCTGGGAACACGGGTGGCAGAGGGGACAGGGCCCAGAGACTGCTGAGGGAGGAGGGTGTAGGGGCAGGGAGGCTGGTGAATGCGGCAGGGGCAGGGGCGGGAGGGGCGTGAGGCCCAGTGGGGCTGGTGAATGTGGGGAGGGTGGATGCAATGCTAAGCATGTCCTCCTGGGGCCAGCAGAGCAGGGGTGTGGCTGAGTGGGTCTCTTACTCCGATTTGGGTGGGACCCCATGAAGTCACATGTGGGGGAGACCTGGCAGGGCCGACAGCCTTGCCTGATCCTTTCACACTTTAGCAGCAGCAATTCCAAGCCCAGAAAGGCTGCATGGCCGGGGAGAACAGAGGCCCCAGAAGGCTCTTCACCGCGGTCTCCACAAGGTAGGACAGAGGAGATTTTAACGTGTCAACTGTTTTCTGTCTTTTCCAAATTGTCTATGGTAGTCAGTAGCCGTGTATTCATTTTATAATCAGAAAAGCGTGTTATTATAAATCAAGTTAAATGGCTTCAAAGCAAAAGCACCCAGACCCCGGAAGCCTGCCCCTCTCTAGCTGGGGAAGGGGACAAAGTGTAAGGAAAAGGCACGGAAAGCTGGAAGGACCCCTGGGCTCTGGGACCCGACCCGAGGGCGCTGCCGCCAGGGCACTGGGAAGAGGCTCCGCTGGGCGAGGCTGGTCTCCCACCCACCCCAGCACAAGGCTTGCTCAAATCTAGACTTGGCCTCCGCCCCCAGCCTCTTCCCCTTGCCCCACCCCCGCCCTCACCACTTCCTCTCAATGGTCCCTGGGAATTACAGCACGATTATTTTTATTGCAAGAGTTTCCCAATGGGGGAACTCCACTGTTGGGGGAAGCAGCAACGGAAGAAGGGTTTGTAGTGCCCTGACATAAACTGGTTATGAGTAATGTATAAAAGAAACGGGGAGGAAGGCCTCTCTATGCCAGCATATTCCCAGGAACAGTGACCTAAGTTCTGATATTCCAAACACGGTGCCCAAGGACATCACACTCCCTTGACGCACAGGAATGTAACCAGGCATGCAGGCTCCTTGCTAAGCCCGCTCCCACAAGCTGCACTGTCAATTGATAAACATATGCTTTTAGCTCTTGAGAAACACACATACACAGCCACTGCTGTCAATCTTACATGTGGCGCACCTTCACCGATTCACCCTGCCACGTGCACTATAGATAAAAGTGATTGTATTCAATAAATACGATGGACACCAGAGCTCGGGGCCTCTGCTTCCTCTAGTTCATGCAGTGGCTCCCTGGTCCCACTTATGCATTCTTAACTTTTTTCTCATTCCTTTGTCGCCCCTGAACTCGGGGTACCCACGGGTGGTGTGTGGGGGCTGGCCCCCTACACTCCACAGCCCAAAAGATTTGCATCTAAGCTTCATGTAGCATCCTTGTGCGTGGACAGCCAGAACCGGGCCATCCCTGTCCCTGTGCACAGAGGCGCACAGGTGGGGTCTGGCAATGCGTCCCAGGAGCCAAGAGGGAGGAATGCGAGCCGAGACGCTTCTCGGAAAATGAGAATGTGTGGGTTATGGAGATGCTCAGACTGCAAACCGTACTGCAGGCACCCAAATGATCATCTTTAACCCCAGACGACCCTGAACCAAAGCCAAAGGCTACAGGTCGCTGGGTCAGAGGTCTCTCGAAACCAGCTGTCCCCTCCCGGCCTAGGCTCACCAGGGCCCCGCCCAGCTGGGGGGATCCCTTGGTGGGACAGTGAGACTGTGAGTCAACAGCACCCAAGTGCCACCGCGTCCACCCGGCACCCGCGACCCCCGAATCCGGACCCCCGGTGGGCAGCGGCTCACCTTCTCCTAGCCCCGGGTTCCAGGAGAACTGCCGGGAGGTGGCCGGGGTCACCCTTGTGGAATCAGGCCTGGCAGAGGCGGGGGGCGGGGTGGGCGGGGCGGGCTTCCCACCTTCCTCAGTCTCTCAATCCGTGGCCCGGGGGATGGAGCCGCTGGCACAGAGGCTGCTGCAGGTCCCAGCGGGTGCCCTGGAGCGTGGCGCCTCCTTCCCTGAGCCTCTTCCCTGGGCACGAGGGTGGGTCCCGAAGACCGAGGACGCCGCCTCTTCTTTCCCCCGCCTCCCCCCGCCCACAGCGCTGCTTGGAGCTGCTCTGCAGGTGCGCAGAGCCTCCCCCTGCCCCGCGGACACAGCAACCCGGCCCCGGCCTCGCCCCCAGCCGTACCCCTTGGCGTTTGCTCCCAGCCAGCCCCGGGCAGCCACTGAGCAGGTGCCATGAGTAGGCGCTTCCTGGAGCTCTTCATGTGGGTCCTCAGAAAGCCCCCTGGCAGCCCCCACTGTAGAGACAGGGAAACTGAGGCTCAAGCAGGGCAGACTTTGCCCAAAACCTGCAGTGCGCTCCGATTCCCCGCTCCGAGCCCGGCCGCCTCCCTGGGGCGCGCGAAGGTAGCTTTCCTTCCCCGGGAAGCGCGGAGGCCGGAGACCCGCACTCAGACCAGGCGGGGGCGGCGCGGGACAGCGGCCGGGAGCACTGAGAGGGCGTCCGGGGCCGGGTGCTCCAGGCTCGGCTCCTGGCGGGTGGATGGGGCCTCGCGAGGCGTCCGGGCTGCCGGAGCGGGAGGAGCAGCCGCGGGGTCCCGTGGGTGGACGTCGCCGTCCCTCCTAAGGCGCAGCCGGTGCTTTGGGACCCGGGGGCAGAGCCCGCGCCTCCCGGCGGGCTCCCCGGGGTCTCTTGGGGTCTCGGGCGCGGAGGCTGAGGCCCGGGCTCCGCAGTAACCCAGGGCGGCCGCGGGGAAGCAGCGCCCTCAGGTGACTCGGAAATGGGTCAGAGGAGCCCGGAGAAGGATGCAGCAGAGTACCGGGTCGGGGCCGGCGGAGGGCGGAGGGGGCGCTCTGGGAAGGTCCAGGCCAGGGCGAGGCTTTCAGGGTCAAGGCCTGCCCACCCTATCCCGTCCCCTGGGAGGGGAGCAGTGAGCAGAGGGGCCCGGGTGGAGAAGGCGCTGCTGGCCAGGGGCGGGGCAGGAGCCCAGGTGGGGACTTGGGGTGGCTGAGGGGACCCTCGGGCTGCAGAGACAGGGAGGGGAGCTAGGGCTGTGGCTTGGACAGGTGCTGGGAGACCCCGGATGCCCTTTATTCTGAAGGGGGATGTGCTGCCTGGGTCCTCCGGGACCTAGAAATCCATTTCAAGATTTTCAGGAGTTTCAGGTGGAGACAAATGCCCTGCACAGGTGAAACTGTGGCAGTGGCAGAGTGTGGGGTAAGAGCCATGGAGAGAGGAGGCCACTGAGGTGGACGATGGGACAGAGGGAGGGAACCAGGATTTTTAAAAACACATCTGAGATGCGTTTGTTTTCCTTTCCCAGAGAAAGTGTGGGCAGAAGCCAGCTCTGAAGCCCAGGCTGCCCAGCCAGCACTGGCAGAGCCGAGGGAGGAAGGCGGGGGCAAAGCTGCATCTCCCTGTCTTGGACATGAGCCCCGGAGATCTGGAAGGAGGCAGATAGGCCGGAAAGCTGAGCAGCCCTGACCCCAGGGCCCCCGGTGCTCCTTGGAGAGTGGATCATTGCCAAGTCATGACTCCCTGCTATCGGGCACCGGACATGGGCCGTGTGCTGGCATCTGGCTGTTGCAGGACTGAACCTGCAGGTGGTGACTGCCTTTCATGCGGTGACTGCCTTCTGGAGGCCTGGCTGGCTGACACTTTGCATGGCTCCTAGAGAAGGGGGATGTGAGTGGAGTCTACGGGTCACAGCCATGTTCTGGGTGCCACAAGGCAGGGCCAGGCTGGGGTGGGGAGGGGCTGGAGACAGGCTCCTGCCAGTTGCGCCTCTCACTGGTGGTCTTCATGCCTGGGAAGCCACTGGGGACTTGGGAAAACGCAGGAGGCTGGGTCCTGCCTCAGGGTCTCTCACTCAGCAGGTCTGGGTGGGGTCCAAGACCGCACCCCTCACAGGTCCCAGGTGAGGCGGGTGTCCTTGGGCTCAGTCCGCCCAGCACCCAGGGCCCGGGTTGGGACAGAGCTGTGATGCAGGCAGGCCGTTCCCCCTGTTTTCTGGGAACATCACATCATCTTAGCTTGGAACCGCAGGCATCCAGGATTGTTACTCACATCCCTCCTCCATGTTCTTCTTTTTGATAACTTTCATCAGGTTTGTCAGGAGCTGCGCTTCCACTAGGGAGGCCCAAGTGGAAAGCCTCTTCCTTGTCCTCCAGGAGAGAGGAAAACCTACAGTTACAATTCCAGGGACAAGAGCGATGCATGTGAGGTGTGGCAAGTCTCACGGTTCAACCAGGGAAATCAGAGATGGCTTCCTGGAGGCAGTGACACCTGGACAGGCTTCTCCACTGAAGGAGGGAATCGAGTGGGAGGAGCTGAGTGGGAGGAACCTATCACTTAGTGGGAACTGCACAGGCGGAACCGACAACCACCCCCACCCTAGGCCCAGAGCTCTTGGAGAGAGCTGGGCCCCTTGGGGGACACCACATAGTTCCCACTAGATCTTAGGTCTTGCCCCTGCTGAGACCTCTATGCCTGTCCCAGGCTGAACCAAGGTTTTCTGACTCTAAGTTGCTGCATTTTTACTAAGGGATGGAGGGACACTGCACCTGCAGGGGTCCAAGCCCAGCGCTGGCTCTGCAAGGATCCGGCCACTCATACTGTGCACCTCCACATGGGGCATCTGTGGGTCTCTCTGAAGGTGGACACCTGGGCAGCCTTCCTGAGGGGTCAGAGCACCCCTGCAGGCATCAGAGATTCCCTCTGTCCCTTTCACCACTGGCCACTGCTGGGGCAGAGCAACACCGCGTGGTTTGGGTCTGGACAGCCGTGAGGCCCCACAAGGCCCAGCGGGCCCCTAACCCCCTCTCTGCACCCTGAGGCTTCACCTGTTGGTCAGAAAGAGGAGCAGAATCCCAAATAAGAGTGCAGGGTGTCACCTACCAGCTCCAGCCCCGGGGGCAGAGTGGGGGGACTTGGTGCTTCTGTCCTGCAGAGGCTGCACCGGAGACACCCAGGCGGGGTGTCACCTGCACGATCAGCTGCAGGGCCGGGGCTGGGGCTGGTAACTGCTGCCGCCTCTTGGCCCGCAGCGTCCTTGCACGTGCTGCTTTGGTCCTGATGGGCAGGGTCCAGGCCTCTCATCAGACCAGGGTTTCTCCCCATGAGGCCCGGAGAGGAGCCTTCTGGCCACTCCTGGGTCCAACAGGAGGAGAACAGCAGGCCTGAGCTTTGTATATACACCAACTGCCAAACATATCACTATGTCTTTCCTGAAACTTCTCTTTTTTTTTTTTTTTTGGGACAGAGTTTCGCTCTTGTTACCCAGGCTGGAGTGCAATGGCACGATCTCGGCTCACCGCAACCTCCGCCTCCTGGGTTCAGGCAATTCTCCTGCCTCAGCCTCCTGAGTAGCTGGGACTACAGGCACGCGACACTATGCCCAGCTAATTTTTTGTAGTTTTAGTAGAGACGGGATTTCACCGTGTTGACCAGGATGGTCTCGATCTCTTGACCTCGTGATCCACCCGCCTCGGCCTCCCAAAGTGCTGGGATTACAGGCTTGAGCCACCGCGCCCGGCCGGAAACTTCTCTTTAGAAAGCTTCTGTTTGTATGCACAAGGCAGTGTGCATGCAAGCATGTCAGTTACAGCAGGAGATGGGGAACAAGCCATGTGGGAACTGATGGAGCCACAGCCACATCCAGTGTCCTCTGCAGCCGCTGTGGACTGCTGGGGGAGTGGAGGCAAACGTGAAGATCTTTATGACGTAAGAGAAGCCAGGCGTGGAGCAGGGAAGAGTCAGGTTTATTTGGTGTGAACCACAGGATCACCAGAAAATATTGCTTTCACAGATAAAACTCTTTTTGTATAAAAGTCTCTAGAGTGGCGATAGGAAATCTATAACCATGATTTCAAGTAGGAGGGGAACTATGGTCTGGGGTCAGGGGTAGAAGGGGAACCGTTCACTGCAAACAGCTCTTAGGGCGTTTGCATTGGGATCAAAGGGTCGCTGATCCTGCCACTGTGACCTGAGGATTACTTCTACCTAAGGCACTTGAAAGACAGCACAGGCAAGAGTGTCATTGAATCTCTCCTTTTCTTCCTGAAGACAGATAAAAATGCCCACGTGAAAGATGCCCTCACTGTACCAGGCAAAGAAATATTCTCTACAGGGAGGTAAGTCATAGCTGACAGGATTCTATACAAACAGATATTAATTAAAGTAATTCCTATCTTCCTTAAGCCTCCCCATACGGTTTACTTTCCATGACTGCCTCTTTGTTCAAGCTCGTGCAAAAGCACATAGGTTTCATCACTTCTTTGGGTCTTTGCTTCCTTATGAGGCTCCTATGCCACATAAAAGTTATATTACATTTGTATACATTTCTCCTGCCAATCCACCTTATTTCAATTTAATTCCCAGGCCCAGCCAGGACTCTAAGAGGAGGGAGGTGGATATTTGCTTCCTATATTACTTTTTTAAAAAGAAAATCTGGGGCCAGGTGTGGTGGCTCACGCCCATCATCTCAGCATTTTGGGAGGCTGAAGTGGGAGGACTGCTTGAACCCAGGAGTTCAAGACCAGCCTGGGAAACATAGGGAGATTGTGTCTCTACAAAAACACAAAAAAATTAGCCAGGTGTGGTGGCACATGCCTGTGTTCCCAGCTATTCAGGAGGCTGAGGTGGGAGGATCACTTGAGCCCAGGAGGTCACCATTACAGTGAGGTATTATTGCACCACTGTTCCAGCCTGGGCAACAGAGTGAGACCCTATCTCTTAAAAATTGTTTGTTTAATTAATTAGTTACCTGATTAACACAGTTCCTTATTGTTGAGGGATTCTCTGCTTCGGTCCTTCTGCAGTCCCACCATACATGAATGGCTTCTTTTGAAGCTTCCTCCTTTGTACATGGGGCAAGTAAAAAAGTTCTTCTTCAAAGTTTCCTTTTTTGTTAAAGAATGAACTTGCTAATAACTCTTTGTTAAGCCCTATCCTATGTAGCTGGTAGACATGCCATGCTTACAGGCGTGTAGTACATTCTATGTCCTTGTACTTTAACCAAGAGATCTGTGCTGGGCGTGCTAACAGGCATGTCCCAGCTCACAGCCTATGCCTCTTACCTGTTTAGAAAAGTTTTATTAGTCAATCAGGTTTTAGTTTAGATTGTGAGGTCTGGTTCCAGCCAGTGGAGATCAGACATAGCAGTAAGGACAACCCCAAATGCATAAGGGATAAATATGTCTGCTTTTCATCTGTTCGTTGTACTCCTGTGGCAAGATGGCTGGCGAGAATCCCCTTCCTGCAGTCCAGGAAGTAAAAAACTGCTTGCTGAGAGATCCTTTGTCTCAGTGCTGATTTTTCTCTGTGCCACTAAGCATGTTTCCAATACACAGGTAAGTATCTTTGTCTCTGTCTTACTCTGTTTTGTGCTGCTGTAACAGAATACCACAGACTTCGTAATTTATATAATGAACAGAAATTCATTGGCTTATGGTTCTGGAGACTGGGAAGTCCAAGACTGAAGGGCCAGCAACTGGCAAGGACCTTGCTGTGTCATCCCACAGTGGAAAAGCAGAGAGGGCAAGAGTGTGCCAAGAGGGGGACAAACTAGTCCTTTTATAAAAAATACGTTGACAACAAATCCACTCCCATGATAACATTCATTCATTCCTAATGGTAGCGTCAAGCTACTACATCTTAATACTGGTGTGACGGCAATTACATTTCAACAGATGGGACCAACAGTCAAACCACAGCAGTCTCAAATGCTGGGCTGGCAGTGGAAGAGGAGGCTGATTTTTAAAAAATACAGTCTTTAAAAACAGGGACAATCCCATGAAGTAAACTCGCGCCAGAATAGGTAACAGGTAGAGGGATCCAGGTGGATAAAACAATAGACATTCCCCTGCATCCAAAGTGTAAAGTTTATTCTCCGTAGGTTTATTGCCGACTTAAAAACGAGGAAACTGAGGCCAGCACAAGAAAACTAGATGCCAATTTATTCAGCTCCCGAGAGAGGTTCTGTGGTACATGGGGATAGGGGCCACGGAAGTCACTCCCGATTCCTCTCAGGAGTGGGGTTTTATAGGGAGTGAAGGCGTTCGATTGGCTTTGGAGGAAACAGGATGTGCACGGGGTGAGCTGCTATTGGTAGGTAGGTGGGATTTCCGGAGAACAGGCTAAGTGCTGAGTGCAGAGGGGATTTCCAAGGGTGGGGCTAGGTGCCAAGTGCAGAAGGGATTTCCAAGGCGGAGCTAGATGATGGGCATATTCTGATAATGTAATTTTCAAGCGGGAAGGGAGATGGGCGTGTTCGAACTCTCCTCGAGGAAACCAGCCTTACACGAGGTATGTAAAGATGAGCCCTTTCACCTCAACAGTCGCTGGGTTTAGATGCTGAAGGCACCCTGAAGGAACTCTAGACACACCAGCCTCTGCAGTTTTCATCGCTGGAGTGTTCACAGCCAGCAGCATTCCTAGGTGGACTCGTTGAGAACAAATCTTGTTGGAGAGTACAAAGAATGGCTTGTGAATGCTCAATAGGTCTTTCAGGATGTAAGTAGACACGACTTCCAGCCAGTTGCGCTGCCTTGAATATATCCTAGAGGCTACCACCTTGAGCTGTGAGTGGCTTCTGTGGCTTGTGTGGCTCTGCCCGGGACCCGCTACTCTTCTCCGGAGTGCACTTTGTGGGGATGGGTTTTCACTATGGATCCTGGGCAGGCGAATGCTGGTGCCCAGTGTGGGGAAGCAGGGTAGAGGTGTGGCCATTACCTGCTGGGCGTGGACTTGGCAGGCTTCCTTTGTGGCCCCCAAAGAGCACCTGCTCCATAGTTTCTTCTCCACATGTCAGCTTTGTGGCTCCATGAGAACCAGGCGCTCCTTGAGGACAGGCATTGCCTCTTACCTGTGGTCTCTCTTCCCTAACGCACCCCAGCACAGACAGCACGGGGTGCAAGCAGTCAGATGAGCACGGTTCCCAGCCCGTTACCTCGCTGCTATGTTTCCCATGTGAGTGGAGCAACACCCAATTCTAAGGAACTGTTCTGAGGACTAAATGGAACACTGAAAACTAAATTGACATGAAGGGAAGGTCAAATGGACTAGGGTGGCCAGGCGCGACGTGGCTCGTGCTGGCAATCCCAGCGCTTTGGGAGGCTGAGGCGGGAGGATCACTGGAGCACAGGCGTTTGAGACCAGCGTGGGTAACAGCAAGATCCCGGCTCTAGCAAAACATTAATAAAAATTAGCCGGGCGTGGCGGTGCCCACCGGTGTTCCCAGCTTCTGGAGAGGCCGAGGCGGGAGGCTCGCCGGCGCCCTGGGGGTGCAGGCTGCAGTCAGCCGACTTCGCGCCATCGCGTTCCAGCCTGGACACAGCGCCAGACGCCGGTCTCAAATGTAGAATTTTAAAGAGGCCAGCTGGACCGCCGCGGAGGTCGCGTCCTCTCCATCCCCAACCCCTGCCCTGGGACCCCACGATCGAGACCGAAACTCGTTTCTCGTGCTCCGCGCCACCCCGGCGCTGCGGCCTGCTTCTCCCCGGGGCGGCGGTGGAAGGCTGAGCGCCCGTCAGAGCCGCTTCCGGGCACTTCCGGCGCCCGCGCGGATCCCGGCAGCCGTGGCTCGCGTTTCCGCCGGGCGGCGAGAGCGCAGGACCAGCTTCCGGTAGGCGCGTTCGCGGAGCTCCGCTGGGAAGATGGGGAAAGTGAGGGGGCTGCGCGCCCGTGTACACCAGGCTGCCGTGAGGCCCAAGGGGGAGGCCGGCCCCGGCCCCGCGCCCCCTGCCCCGGAGGCGGCCCCTCCGCCGGCCTCGGCCGGGAGGAAGGTGAGTGGGGGGCGGCGCAGGCCGGGGGCGCCGCGTGGCCGGGGTGGGTGAGCTGCGGGGCGCCGCCTCCGGGAGGGGTTGAGGCTGAGGCAGGAGAATTGTTTGAATCCACGAGGCGGAGGTTGTGGTTAGCCAAGCTCACGCCACTCGACTCCAGCCTGGGCAACAAAGTGCCGTCTCAAAAAAAAAAATTTCTATCTGTTTACTGATGTTTTCTGTTTGATATGAGAATGTCGTCATGCCTTCCTTTAGTTCTTTAGACACAGCCTCTTTGTCTCTTTTAGTCCTTGGAACTATGTACAGGTATTGATCGACTTACGACCTATGCAACTTACGACCACTCGACTTTACGACCACAATCGCTAGCCACGACTGCTCCGCGTCTGGCAGCGCAAACGTTGCCCAGCTGGGCGTACGACAGTGCGGACCAGCTTCCGGCACCACTACCATCTCCGCGTGCATATAGCCTACTCAACTTAACGACCAAATCGTGTTACGACCGGTCTGTTGGAACCAATCGTGGTTGTAAGTCGAGCACTAGCTGTATAATGGCTCCTATGAATTCTTTACATGCGAGTACATGTGGGCTTCTCAAAGCAGTTTCTGTTGTGTGGCTCATGCTTTCCTCGTTCTTTGAATGTATCGTGTGTGTGTGTGTGTGTGTGTGTAAAATTGGGCATTTTGGATAGTCCTGTAGCAACCAGGGATTAGTATTTGCTTGACAACTTTGTTTATGGACCTGGCACTGAACCATGTAGCCTCTCTCCTTGTCCTCTTCTGGCTTTGTGCAGCCTCTGATGTGCCCCCTTGCTCTTTTTTTCCTGTTTTTATCTTTTAGCCTGGCTACTTGGATCTGCGTAAGTTCATTATTGGTCAGCAATTATTCTTAATGCCTCCTTGGCCAGTGAGTTTTTGCCCTTTACCACTGGATATCTCTGGCTTGGAGGTAGCTGTCAGGTACAGCGTGTTTACATTTTCAACCTCCATTCTGCCTTCCGAGAGGCACCACCAAGGACTAGTCGCTTACAGGGTCCCTCTGCTCACTCCTGGGGGGGCGCGTCCTTGAATGTGCGTACAGCCTCCAGACTGCCAGGGATGCGGCTTCCTGGGAGCCATTCCTGGGCCAGAGGGGCTTACTGTCTTCCCAGAAGCCTTGGGCACCTTGCCCTCTGCACCCATCACCACCCAGAGCTCCTTCCTGGTCAACAACACCCTTAGGCGTGAGCTCCCTCACACCAGTTCCCGACAAAGTGAGTCCCATCTGGCAAAGCTGTGGAGTTCTTCCTCCTTGCAGCCTGCCTCTCCTGGACAGGAACTCCATGTCAGGACACCAGCGATGGGGCAGGAGCAGCTTCAACTCCCTAGTCGCCTGCGCTCCTTGAAACCTGTGCCCTGCTGGTGGCTGAGGTGGGGCTGATTGGGACCCAGTGTTCTGATGTCCCTGCCTGGGGTGGAAATTAGAAAATAGAATTATCAGACAGAAACCGAAAAATAAGTGTCTCTGAAAGTTTTTTATTTATTTCATTTTATTTATTTATTTTTTGAGATGGAGTCTTGCCTTGTCGCCAGGCTGGAGTGCAGTGGCGCAATCTCTGCTCACTGCAACCTCTGCCTCCTG